TTGAACCCGGGGCTTTTCGGGCACCGGAAGCCTGAACAGCCTGCGTAGTGGGGTGGGCCAAAGGCAAACGCACTTCTGACGTTCATTTTCTCTTTAGGCAGTACCTTCTTCCTCATCTCGTCAGGACAGGCCTCCAATGAAATCCTTCATTCTCACTCGGAATGCGGCCCAAGCCAAGTAGGTAGCACCAAAAAAGGGGGTTGCCTTTGCAGGCCCCTCGCTTTTGCGGGACAGTGTGGGCATTGTTAAAAGGGCTTGGCTTCACCTGAGAGGCTGTTCATCAAAGGGCTGTTATGATCTCTCTTGAGTCTTTCTTTCTTCAGCAGACATTTCTCTCACAGACTTGAGCTTAAAAAGACAAGAGAGAGGCAACCAAAATAGCAAATTTGCTAATTAGCGGAAAACAGAAAGAAGGAATCTAATGGAGAATTCTTTCCTGTTGCCTACAGCTACAGGCCTCAAAAGTACAGAGTCGCCTGTCTGGCTTCTCGAGATGCTTTTGCGTAGGGTGGCCAGAGAAAGTCCTTCCTCCGTGTGCCTTTTAGACCGACCAACTATAAATACCCCTTTCAGTGTGATCAGTGCTCTGTGGGACATCGGCCTCTGGGACTGCCTATTGGGAGGTGATCCTGGGCTATTTATCTTCTCTTGAAAGCGCTTGACTTCACTGCCCCTTCCTGGATGCCTCTTTTTACACATCCTCGCAGGAATTTGCACAACTCAGAAGACAGCTGGTTAGGGGAGGAAGGATGAAACACACAGGCTTTGTCGCTGAAGAGAAGAGGCTTTTTAATAGTGCTATTTATGTTGAGTTTTCTAAATGCACTGTGATCTTGCAGAGTATTTGGAGCTGGCTATCCAAGTCTGGCGACCATGACGGTGCATGACTGGTACGATCAGCATCAGAAAGTTGGCGTGTTACCAGATCAGGGGATAGCCAAGACATCGGCAGGTATGAGGGGGGTGGGGTACCTACGCTGCCGGCCCCTTTCTCCCTAGCGCTTAAATGCAGGCCAAGTATTATGGTCCTTTAGGAGCAGAAGTAACCTGGACAAAGATTCGGAGCAGCAGAAAGATTCCAGGCAGGATTTTATTTCATTTATTATTAAAATAAACAGCAGGTGATTCTGGGAAGGCGGGGGCGGAGGGGCAGCGTAGTTTTTGAATCTCCAGATATCATGGTATAAAAACAGACCGAGCAGCTAGATAGCAACACCAGAAATCCGTGGGTAGCAGTTCCGCTTCTGGCAGGGGCAGAGCGGCTTGTATCCGGTCACCCCTCCTGCAGATAACAGTGGCAGACTGGACAGACTATAACAGCAAATACTTGAAGGCACTGGAGAGCGATGAGAAGCAGACAGAGACTGGAGGGCAGTCAGCACATAGAGGAAGGAGTGGTACCTGGAGCTTCTTGAGGGCGGGTACTTTGACTTCCTGTCATCTTGGTGCCCACCTTGGTAATCAGATCACGGTAGATATGCAGAGGTGTCTGGGGGAGAGAAGGTGGAGAAGGAGGTCGTTAGAAAGATGGAAGTACTATGGCATTAGCAGAAAAAGCACAGACAGACCTGAGGTGGCCAGTTACACTGACACCACCAATCGCCGGTGATTATGTGGAGCCACAGGGACTCTTAGTCTTCGCTGGTGGGAATGCAAAATGGTACAGCCACTTTGGAAGACAGTTTGGCGGTTTCCCACAAAACTAAACGTACTCGTAACATACGATCCAGCAGTTGTGCTCCTTGGCACTTACCCAGATGAGTTGAAAAGTCCGTGCAAAAACCTGCACACAAATGAGTATAGCAGCTTCATTCCTAATTGCCAAAACCCGGAAGCACCCATGATGTCCTCCGTGGGTGAGTGGAGAAACAAAGTGTGGTCCATCCAGACAGTGGACTAGGATCCGTTGCTAAAAAGAAATGAGCTCTCGAGCCCTGAAAAGCCATGGAGGAACCTTGAATGCATATTCCAAAGGGAAAGAAGCCAATCTCAGAAGGCTACATACTGTATGACCCAGCTCTATGACATTCTGGAAAAGGCAAAACTATGGAGACAGTGAGAGGATCCGTGGCTGCCAGGGGTCAGAGGAGAAGGGAGGAGGAAGATGTGGAGCACAGAGAGTTTGCAGGGCAGTGGAACTAATCGGTCTGACACTGATGGTGGACACGCGTCATTAGATATTGGTCCAGACCTGTAGAACGTACACCACCAAGTGGGAACCCTGATGTCAACCAGGGCCTTTGGGTGAGGACGATGTGTCCATATAGGTTCACTGGTTATGACAAATGCGTCATCAGGTGGGGGACGTCGATGGTGGGGGGGCAGGGGGTGTATGGGAACTCTGCACACTCTCCATTCAATTTTGCTGGGAACGTAAAGCTGCTCTAAAAATATTTTTAAAAAATAATGCAAGGAGACAAAACTCGACCATCAGTCGGGAAATTAGGAAGGAGGCAAGAAAGAAGGAGCAGAGGAAGCAAGAACAGGTGAACAGAAAACCAGCAGCAGAGCGCTGGGGCCCAGTCCAGCCACACCAGGAATGACTTCAGACATAAGTGCAGTAAACTTCCAAACTAGAAACCAGAGATGATCAGACTCAACTGCGTGCTGTCTGTAGAAGATGCATTTTAATCATAAAGGCAACAGACTGATCGATAGTCAAAAAGTTGAGAAAGGTATACTGTGCTAACAGTAAGCGTAAGCAAGCAGCGGCTATGGTGATATCATGTAGACTTCAGACAAAAGGTGTCACTGGACATAAAAAGGGCATTTTTTACTAATAAAAGGCAATTTATCAGGAAGACAGCAATCGTAAACCTGTTCGCGCCTAATAACGAGCCTCAAAGTACACGAAGGAAAACAATTGGCACAGTTAAATGCAGAAATGGACAGCCCTGCGATCATACTTGATTTTAGTACTTTTCTTTCAGTACTGGATAGAATTATGACACAGAAAGCCAGGAAGGACACGAACACCTGGACGACACTAGCAACCACCTGAAGCTGCTTGACATAGAACAGTACGTGCAACAACTGCAAAATCCACTTTTCTTCAACCTCACACGGCAGATTCACGAAGAGAGACCATATTCTGGGCCATGAAAGGAGTCTCAGTAAATTTTCAAAGTTTAAAGTCACACCGAATGTGTCCTCTAAGCACAGTGGAATGAAATTACCAATCCGTAACAACATACCTAGGAAATCCCCAAATATTTTTTTTTTTAAATCAAACAACATACTTCTAAATAACCCATGGGTCAAAGACGCAGCAATCGCAAGGAAAATGAGAAAATATTTTTAACCGAAAGACAATAAAAATACAATATCAGAATTCACGGGGGTACAACCAAAGCAGGGCTGACAGGGAAATGTATAACTCTCGGTACTTATATTAGAAAAAAAAAAAAAAAGATGAAATCTACTTAAGAAGCCGAGGAAAACAAAAACAAAAACAGAAGCCCAAAGTCCACAGAAGAGAGGAAACGATAAAAATGGAGAATCTAGGGGCATGGTGGTGATAATGACACACGAAAGGTGAGCGCGTGCACACCCCGCGACCTGGTCATTTCCCTCTACGTCCACGAAAGGCCGACACAGGATTCCTAGCAGCAGCATCTGTAATACCGCAGACTGGACACGCCGCAAACCGCGCACCCAATAGAATGAGTAAACGCATTTGGGGATATTCACACAACGAAATCCTATTTAGCAAAAAGGCTGAACTACAGTTCTTCAGCTAAAAGTGCCAAATACAGCTGAATTTTATAAACATAATGCTGAATGAGAAAAGCCAGACACAAAAGAGTATATACTCTATGAGACCATTCGTATGGAGTCCAAATACAAGTGAAACGAGTATTTGCTGGTTAAAAGCCTGTATGATGTTCGCCTTTACTGGGGTTGGGGGCCGCTTCTGAGGAGTTCGTTGTGTTTTACATCTTGATCTGGGGACCGCTTTCATAGACGTGTTCAGATGTGAAAATGCCCTGAGCTGTACTATGGCTTTTTTCCACATGTATGTTATACTTTAACAGCAAAAGAGAAAAGTCATGGGCAATATTTACAACGAAACTGGGCGACAGTGTATTCCCATGCACCTCAAGATAAAAACAGGCAAATGGTCCAGAGCCACAGGATCAACTAGCGATTGGCAGAAAGCGTTGACAGACCGTGTCAAAGATCTGACGCACAGGAGAATTCCAGAACAACAAGCAGGTGTTCACTACGAAGCGTGGCAGTCCGGTTTCAGAACAAAACTGTCCAGGTCATCAAAAACGAGGAAAGTGAGCAATCGTCACAGCCAAGAGGAGACAAGGAGGCACGATGACCGAATGTCATGTGGTGTCGTGAATGGAATCCTGAAACCGAAAAAGGACATTAGGTAAAACCTAAGGAAATGTGAATAAAGTGTCACTGTCGGTTCCTCAGTCATGACACAAACCATAGTAACGGAAGAGGCCCACAGGACAGGGTAGGGACGGATGCGTAAGGACTCTGCACTGTCGTCTCAATTTTCCTGTGAATCTAAGACTTCCAAAATTTTAAAGTTTCTGTTTTGAGAAATCATTGCAATTGGTCGAACCCCATCAACTGTTTAATTTCACGAGTTCATAATTATATTTAAAAACAAAAACTGTTCAATTTCAGAGGATAAGGAACCAACTTATTATCTTGGAAAGCGGTAAAGTAAGGGAGTCGAGCATTTGTCTTCAGTTCTCCCGGGTCACTAAGTAGCAGTAGGTGAGGGGAGGCCTCTCTTTAGAAAAGCATTCTAGTTCGTAAAAGCGAAAAGAAGAGTATCACCTTTCTGAAAGCCCCAGAAAATTCATGAATCGAGGCGTTGAGCATCCACAGCTGTTAACATCACAACACAAGAGACATCAACCTTACGTGCCACCCGATGAGGGAACACAGCAGCACCTACAGCCGCGCCGACGGGGTCAGCCCAGACTCAGACCGAGCCACGTGCAGTCAGCAAAATCCAGATTCGGGGAAACTGCAGTGCAAGTGCCCCAGCTCCCCCAAGAGACAGGCTGTGAGGAACGGGATGGAAGACAGACCTACAGATTAGAAAGATATCACCATATTTTAAGTGGGCAAGACTAATGTCCAAAACGTCACGCTAAATGAAAAGTCAGACACAAAAGACGACAGTGCTGGATTCCGTTTCCGTGAAACGTCCAGAAGAGGCAGCTTCGTTGAGAAAGAAGGCCGATTAGTGGTTGCCAGGGGCTGGGGACGGAGGGAACGGGGACTGACTGTAAATGGACACAGGGGATCTTTGGGGGGTGGCAGACAACCGTTAATGGGATGCTGGCGATGGTTACACAGGTGTACTTAAAGTCATTAAGACGTGACCGTACAGATGGACAGCTGGTGTCTGGGTTGGCACACAGGTCACGAAGCTTTAGAAACTCCAGGAAGTTCTAGTACAAAATGTGGTGCAGGGTCCCCTGTGGGCCAGAGGGACTGTGATTTGGAAGACGCTCAGGGAGGAGGTTTTGGGACAGGCACAAGTGGTCCATTTGTTGACCCAGGCGGAGGCTATAAAGGGTGGAGGGGGGTGCGTGCGATTCCCAGCAGCCTTTATTTTTATAATAAAAGCACCTTTTGAAAAGAAGAGCAGACTCCTAACGTGCTGGGAGCAGGCAGGTCCCTACACTTCATTCCGTGCCTTAGTAATAGACTTTCCTGTGGGCACCTCAGGGCCCCCAGGAAATGCTCCTTCACCTTGGGAAAGAGAAAATGCAGAAGAGATCCAGCAGTTGGTTCAGTTTCTTTCGGGTGCACGCCACCGCACCGGACTAGTGCCATTTGGACCTCAGACCCTGTTCCGAGCATGTGCGCGATTACGCGGGTAGTCTTTTCTAGTAGGTTCGACTGCCCTGTGGTGTCCAGTTTTATACATCACCTGCAATGTGTAACCGTAATGGGACATGGCTGGAGAGAAAGTCGCCCGCAGTCCCCAGTCCCTGGCACGTCATAAACTATAAACTCAGAAATACTTTCTACTTGGGTGTTTTGGTGTGCTGGGGTTTTCTTGGTGGTTGGGGCGGGGGTGCTGGCCACTCTAGCATGAGTTAGGTCTTTCCCCAAATTGAATCCATCCTGAGGGGCCACTTTTCTGGTTTTGCTTCTTACGAAAAGCGCCCGGAGCAGCCATCCTCCGTGGCGTTGGCCATGTCCCCGCTCCGTGCGTGAGCACTGTTCCCGCCGTGGCCGTGTTCCCTGTGCTCACTGTACGCGACTGTCCCTCGGGTTCTCACGTCTGTTGTCTTCTTTTGCTACCTGGGCAGAGGTCAGAAAAGCAGCTCGGCGACAGGAAGAGCCGGACATCAAGGAGGACGAGGAGGACGAGGAAACACTCCAGCGGGCTCGGGAGTGGGATGACTGGAAGGACACCCACCCCAGGGGTTATGGCAACCGGCAGAACATGGGTTAGCCCCCCGGGAGACGGGGCCGCGGGGCAGCCTTCCCCCACCCGGGCTTCCGCCTCGGCGCCCCGCATCTGCCCCGCGTTCAATAAAGTGTTGAGCAATTGCATGCGCGCGCGAACCTGCTTTCAGCACCAGCTCCCTCAGCGCGGTGGATCCCGATTCCTTAAGGAGAGGCCCGTATAATCACGGGCTGCGATGAATTCCTAAAAGTAAAAGTCCCCTCGCTGGCCCGAGTCTGCAGAAACACAGACGTCGGATATGAGCTGTGTGTTCGTGGGGAAGGGGGCCGGCTGTGGGTCCCCAGGCTGACAGAGACAGCCCGCTTGTCGCCCTTTGACCCCCGCCGGGCTCGCAGTCTTCCTGCCCTGGCACTGAAATAGCCCAACACCGCTTGGCGAGGGGCCAGCACAACAGCCAGGACGTTTCCTGCCACACGGCACAATTTTCAGGACTAGAGCTGTCAGCGAATGGGCCATAACCACCCTATCCGCTGGTCCTCGGCCAGGAGGAGCAAACGAACAATCAGGCACTGCGAGGGCCACACTGGGTGTGGCTCTGAGGCCAGGGCCTTTGCTCGGGGACGCGCAGCTCGGGCTGCAGCACAGCTCATAACTGGGCCACCAGAGGCCAGGTGGCCCTCCCTGCCCGTGCTGGGCAATGCCTGGCACAACCCAAGGCGTTGAATCCATGCAGAGCGCAGCCAGGCTACTGGGCCATCTGCAGAACAAAGGAGGGTTCCTGCCGGGGTTGCTGGCGGCCACTTCCCCGCACCCCGAAGGGAAAAGAGTCTTTAAGTGGCACCTACACAAAATGTTGTTCATTCCCTATGGCCGAGACTGGGAACCGCCAGCAGCAGTTCAGGCCGCATGTCACCTCCCCGTCCTCCCTGCGCCCAGAGCAGAGGACACGGGCAAACAGTCTGGACCGTAACTCGGGAACAGGCATGACAAACACTGACTTCCCAAACGCTCGGGTCCCTCTCAGTGTCTCTCGCTCCCTTCATCTCGACTGTCTCTGTCCCTCCGAGTCCCTCTCAGTCCCTTGACTCTGTCTCCCTCACCGCCCTCACCGCCCTCGTCTCCACTGTCTGTCCCTCAGCCTCTCACTGTCCCTCTCACCCCCTGCCTCTGAGAGGGGACCACGCTCTGTGGAGCGTCGCCCCTTTTCTAATTCTTTGCTCTCGACTAACTTCGGCGCGTGTGTGGAATTCTTTCTAGAATTCTTTCCACACTCTCCGCCAAACCCTCTTCTCAGTGCAGGCCTTGGTCTCCCCCGACTCGGGGGAGTTCGCCCGGTCCTGCCTCAGAATGCGCCACGAGCGTCACTTTGCTGGTCACTTGCAGTCATGCTGGGCACTGGATGTGGAGGAGGGGGTGGCACAGATGTCCCTGAAAGGTGCCTACTTTCTACGGTAGAGACATGTCTTCGGCTCTTGGGTCGATACCCTAAAATAGCAGCCACGTGTTCAAAGAAATGACGTGTGGAAAGAGCGTGCTTTTGTTCTCTGCCTTCGGCACACTTAGAGTTTCTTTTGAGAGGACGATGACTCAGCCTTCGTGTTCTAGCTTCTGCCCTCTAGCTTAGGAAAGGGGATGGGGGAGACTCGGTTCCCTGCTGGTTACGGGGTGGTGAGTGGAGCGCTGTCAGGCGATGAGCAGGAGGCAGGTTAGTGGGAGATGGCAGAACACCGCCAACAATACACTGATGTGCTGCTCAGAAAGGACCCCGCGCTGGCGACTGCCACTCCTGAAACACTGTGGGAGTGCAGTTTGGGCTCCCCAAGGATTTGGGGAGCGAACATTCATTATGTAGCTCTTTCAGGCTGCCTCTGGCAGTGCCCGATTTCCTGCCCTTGAAGCTCCACCGTGAGTTCATTCTCAAAGTGGGCCAGGCTGGGGTCACCCCCGTGATCCCTGTCTAATGATGGAACTTCCAGAAGATCCAGGTTGTTTAAGCCCCCTCACACGTTCTGGTGTCCACAAAGCAAACTAGACGAGCTGGGTCTGAATCCTGGCTTTAAAAGTTGCAAGCTCTGTGCCCTTGGGCACTAAAACTTCTCTGAAATGTTCCTGTTTCCTCCATGTCTGTGGATGAGCTGTCTCACTGGGGTTGTGAGAATTCAGTGAATAATGGCAGCCATGATAACAGAACCAAACAACTGAATAACTTCTTTCTGTTCATCTGAGCTGTGTGGCTACAGTCTGTCCACCGAGAAGCGAGGGAAATGGACAGGCTTGAGGCCTCTCTTGTGTACCAGGCACTTTCACATACTATTAATACTCACGACCCTACGAACGGGGTAGCATCGTCCCATTATACAGTTGAGAAAACAGGCCCGGAGAAGCTGGGCGATTCCCTGAAGTTCACGCTAGAAAGAAGCTGTGCTTCGCTCATCATCCACGTGCTTCCCAATTGCTTGTGCTTGTAGTTTTGTCTTAAAGATGCTGTAAAACAGGCAGCAGCTTTAAAAATCCAAACCCAAACCACCACTTATACATCATCTGAGCTCTAGAAACTCCTTCTTAGCTGACTCACCAAAGAAAAGGTTATTCCGGCTCCCCCTCCATTTCCCCCTCAGCTGGGGAGTAAGAAGACGGAGATGCTGAGCAAACCCGGCTTCCTCCGTTCTCCTCCCCAGTTCAGTGTGCCTGACTGACGGCCTGAGACCGAAAAAGAACCACCTTCCGGACGCCCACCAGAGCAGGGCCTCGCAGGGTCCTAGAGCGAGCTGGGTTTGATGGACTCAGAAGTGAGGACTCGAAGCTCTCACCAGATAATAGTGCTTCGTTGTTCACAAAATGCTTTCGCGTATGCTGCTGATTTCCTTCTCACAGCCTGTGAGGCAGGTGATGTCTTCGTTTCACAGAGAGGTAAACTGGCTCTGGGAAATGAGGAGAGGCGCTTACTTCAGCCACACAGCCACTAAGTAGAACACACAGGCATACCAGGGTGGCCAAAATGGTTGCCCTCGATAGCTGTCACCTGGAGGCCAGGTCGATGGGGCAAAGTTGAACACTGAGCGCTGTTTCTTTGCATTTGTCCTTTGCACTCCCGTTCCTGGCCACTCCCCCTGTGAGAAAGATAGGGCAGGGGACTAAATTTGCTGATTTCAAGCCCAAGAAGTGTACTTAAGAGCCCTGAGTAGAGTCTCAATTCTCGCTCTGCTACTCCCTAGCCGGGTCACCCTGGGCCACCAAGGTCGCCTGCATCTCTCCTGTCATTTAAAACAACTTGAAAAGGGAGAAACGTTTGAAATAAACCCACCTCGGTGTCAACAAAACTCCAAAGTCCCCCTCTGCTTACTCTGGACCTCCGTTTGCTGATCAGCACCACAGACACAGTGCCACCCACTCCTGGGACACCCTACATACAGCAAGCTGCTGCCGTCACCATTCTCTCCTTGCCAAACAGCCCTCTGTAACACCTGCACATTTCCTCACAGGTAGCTTTTAACCCATTCATCCAAGGTACAGTTCAAGCTGGCACAGTTCACTCATGTTCCATCACAAGGACATGGCCTTGGCCTCTCCCAGGAACAGGCAACAAAAATCCTATTTACACCACGGGCCGGAGTGTGGAGCACATGAAATCAAATATCTTATAAAACAGGGCACAGGAGTGAAGAGTAAGTGGCTGTTGGCAAGCCGCGGAGACAGAGGGCATGCATTTTTTTCTTATTGAGTGTTTCTCAACTTTATTTTTCTCCCTGCCCTGTAATGTTTCCTCAGTCTATCGTCTGTACATCACCACAGCGAAAACGTTTGTGAAATGCTTTTCTTTGTGCGCTGACATGACAAACGAGAGAATTGCTACGGGCCACCAGGCCACCCTTGACAAATGTATGTGACTCAGGCCAGCCTGTCCCATGATGGCACAAATAAAAATAATAGCCATATAGGTCCAGGGTAGGACCTATATGCACTGAGCACCTACTATAATCTAGGAGCTTTACGTTATTTCTAATTCTCACCACACCAGCCCAAGGTAGATAGTATTATAGCCTCCGTTTATAAATGAAGAAATTCAGACTCAGAGAAGTGCTTTCCCAAAGATCACTCGGCCCTAAGTGGTAGAGCCGAGTCTGCATTCGGGTCTGCGCGACTCCCAAGGCCGCTCCAGTCCGCCACACTGCCTCCCTAGGAAGCACAAAGCACAGCGGACACCAGAACATGGGCAATACACCCCGGTGGCACACTGCTCTGGGGACCACCTCTCCCCCAGTCAGAAACCTCCCTTTCTAGGTACCCCGCGTCCCTCAACCCGCACGTCCCTGTTCCCAGTGCCAGTCCCGCCCTGGCTGGTCCTTGTCCGTGTAAATATTTTAAACCCTCCACTTCAGCCCCTCACTTAGGGCTTCCTACATATTTTCGAAGCCAGTTGAAGCCCCACCCTGTGTCCACCAGGCCTCCCCAGACAACTAAGACCAGACCCAGGATATGAGTGCATGAGGCTTGGCAGCCAGGGGCTGAGAGAAGCGTTTCTGCCTGAACGCTGAGACCCTTCAACACTCAGCAACAGATACCAACCACCTCTGCTCCCCTGGTGCCCTTGGCCCTGGCTCAGAGGTGTTGAGCTATTTGCAGAAAGACTTCTCACCAGCTTTATGTAACGTGTCTTCTCCCTTCCTTGTCTACCTTCTCCCTGGGCGAGCTGCACCCACCTCCGGCTTCCTGAGCACATGGGTGCTGTCGGCTAGCGCTAGCTCTTGATGAACAAACGGAACTCAATGGTCCTGAAATGAGCTCATCACATTCCCCCCCACACCGCCCCCCCCCACTCCATCACAGTTTCTTAGATCCCCATCGCCCACTTAGTGCTTCATCCTGAGACTCTCAGCATTGTTTCTGGCTTTTTCCTCCTGACAAAGCCAGAATTCAATGTTTGTGGAATGAATTACTGAATGAATGAATCACTCTTCATCAGGCAGATTCATAATAATCCAGCCTCTTTCTTTTCATATTCGAACAACTTTACATGAAAGAAAACCCAGAATCCCTCACCTTAAAGCAGCCATCGTTTCTCTCTCAGACCTTTCATCCTAACACCGAAGAGACCACATTTTTGCAAAGTGCATCCAGTGTAGGGGTCTGCTTTATATTCTGCTCTTAACGTATCATATACTGCAGAGTCTGCCTTCTAATCATTTTAATGACTTTTAATGACTGCAGATTAGTCTATAATGTTGCTATGTAATACCTCACTTAGCCGGCCTCAGAGTTTGAACATTTGGATTATTTCCAGGTTTTTACTGTTTGTTCCTTTATTCATTTAACTAAGCAAAAGACATCATTTGCTGTGCGTGCTGAAAATATCTCTGGAGGGGGTGGGGTGTTGGGTTGTTAGAGGCCGGGAGTGGGAAGGAGACTTTTCACTGAATTCCCCAGCATCCCTTTTCAATTTGGAATCATGTGAATATTCTGACTGTTCAAAAACTACACACACACGCACGCACACGCACACGCACACACACCATAAGCTTACCAAGCGGCATAGAGAGTCTCAGGGAATATTTTCACTAAACCTTGAAGCCTGGGTTGAAGTTGGTCAGGCCGGTAAGAGACCATTATGGGCAGAGGCCCAGAATAGGAAAATGTACTTCCTGTTTGGGGAAGGAGGCTGTATCCGGTGTGCCGCGAAAGTGGGAGGAAATGAGACTTTCAAGGAGAGCTGAAAGCAGTGTAGACACAGCTCTGGATGCCAGGCTGTGAGCTCTAAACTTGATCTCAGAGGCAATGGGAGACGTCGAAGGGTCTGAATCGGGGTGCATGCTAAGAGCTCTGTGTGACCGTGATCTTGTAGCAGCAGCAATGAAGACCAAAGGAAGGGAGACCAGCGGGGAACAGCCCGCTGACATCCAGGAGACAGTGGCAAGGGCCCAAATGAGGGGACCAGCTGTCCCTGTCTGCCCGAGAACATCCTGATGTTAGTTTAGCATTGTACGTCCCATGTTCCGGGCAACTCCTCGGTCCCTGGCAAACGGAGATGGTTGGTTAACATGGCCTGCTGCTTTGCCCCAGGGCCTGCCCGCCCTCAGAAGTGATCCAGTGACTTCCAGAAACCTTTGAAATACCCACTCACATGTGCTCTGCCCTCGATCTCCACAGGGCCCTCCTTGAATCAACACTCCTGGGTCCGCCTTCACTTGATTCTAGACCCATTGACCTCCAGACATATAGATATTTGTAAGAAAAAAATCCTCTCTTATCCATTCTCGGGCTTCTTTCCTACTCCCTTTCATAAAACTGAGTTTCCATGACATTGAGGCTCGAGTCAAACTAAACTAGTCCCTGTACCCAAGAAAACCTTTAGACTTTTATGTCCACTGGGCCACTACAGTAAAGATCGTGTTTCCTATTTCCCACTTCTCAATACAAGTACTATGGAGCAGCTCCTGGTGTCAGACGCTGCCAAATGGCCTTTCCAAACATCGCCACTGATTCTCACAGCAATACATATGATTAGTTCCTTTTTTCAGATGACAAAACCAAGGGAAAACATCTAATCCAAGGTCGCACAGCTACTAGCCTTTACCTTGGTCTACTTTGGACTTCTCTGATGGCGTCGATCCTGATGTTGATAGTGTGTGTATACACTCCTTTTACTGTCTACCTGCCACTTTCACTCACCACATACACAGTTGTCAACCTGGAACGATACCAGCCTTATAGGAGGACCTCAATAAAAATTTGGCGATTGAACAAATTATGCATGCGCCTTCTATAGCAGCGGTCCCCTACCTTTTTGGCACAGGGACCGGTGCTCCTATGACAATCTAATGCCTGATGATGTGAGGCGGAGCTGAGGCGGTGATGCTGGTGCTGGGGAGCGGCTGCAAACACAGATGAAGCTTCGCTTGCACGCCAGCCGCTCACCTCCTGCCATGTGGCCTGGTTTTTAACAGGCCACAGACTGGTACCTGTCCGTGGCCTGGGGGTTGGGGACCCCTCATCTGTAGTACCTTATCCTAGTGACTGACATTAAATAGATTCTCCACAAATACATTTAACTGAGCTGCAGTTGCAAATACCTAACCAAATAAGAGTATAGCAGGAGAGGGAAAATCAGAAGAAAACACATTATGGCAAAACCTCAGCTATTCTAAGCTCTCCTGAAATGAGTCCTTCTGAAGGCTGCGGGTGAACCTTTGAATCCAGGATGGAGAATCTTGAGACTGCTTCTTTCCCAGGGCTCCCCTCACTTCCATCACTCCTTGATCCTTCTTTTTCTTCCATTCTTCTCCTTCCTTTGTTTTTCTGTTGCTCCTTAGAAGCTTCACAGCTTTCCAGCTTATCTCAGACCCTCACCCTCCTCTATTCCTTCTGGTCTTTCCCGGATTGCCTTTTGTGCCTTTCGTGCCTTTTGTGCCTACTCTGTTTCTCCTTACTGCAGCGTCCTCTCTTCCATGAAGCCTTCCCTGATCTCAGGCTAGTGTGTGCTTCTCTCCTGCATATCCTATAGTACCCCATACGGGTATCTGGGATTACGTCTACCTCACACACTAGACTGTGAGTTTCTTGAGTGTTAGAATCATGTCAGCCTTAAATGCTCGTGAATGAAATTGGCAGACCTTTCGTGCTTTTCTGGCTACCTTATCTTTGACACTGCTTACTCTGAGGCGGCTAAGCTTTTGCTTGTTGGTTGGTTAAATTAGAATTGGGAAATTACAAATGCCGGCTGTCTGGAGTTTGTCTGCTGGCCTACTTCTCTTCTTCCCGCTTTTTCTATATTCCCTGGTATTTACACTTGTCCATCTGGCTCAAGAGAGCTGCAGCTCAAACAGCATGCTCTCTATTTAAGGGAAAAGAGGGTAAGCAATCAGGATCTTGGCCCAGCCCTGCCAGTCCACCTTGCTTGAGGAACCAAGAGATCTGACCTCCTTCATTTGTCACACAAGCATTCACCTGAGTGCCGACTCTGCAGACCCTGAGCTGGACATTAGGGAAACAGAAATGAAAACGGGTCTGTTTCTGCCCTGCCTCTGACACTCTGTGTGACATTGGGTCCTTTCTAGGCCTCTTCCATTTACCAATCTGAAGGTGAAGGAGGGTAGAGATCTGATGTGAAAGGGGGCTTAAAGCTGTCAACATTGTGGATCTTGTCTGTCCCAGACAAGCCAGCCCTCTTCACATCTGTGCTTTCCACGAGAAGAGCCAGGCCTGCCGCTCTTACCTCTCACCCTCCTCCCCTGCAAATTCTGAGTAGCATTGTTCCAATACTTCTCACTCTGTACGTGGTCAATTAGCCCCAAGAAGTGGTTTGAGAATCCCAGCTAGCCAGGGGAAAGAAAAGAAATAGGAAGCAGAGAAAGGAATGACACATCAGGTGGCCGTCTAGGGTACATCGGCTCAACTCTGAAGAGTCATATTAGTCTAATCAGGAGGCCCACCCCAGAGTTGGGGGATGGAGAGGGAGGCAGAATTCTGATACTCTCCCTGGAGAAGGCTAAGGAATCAATATTTCCTTACATTTATAGGGCACTTGATGCTAATTTTGTATTTGGTTTTCCTAGCAACCGTTTTGATTACATTCAAAAGACTTTTTTTGAGCATCTTGTATACCCTCAAGGTCTTATGCTAAGAATACTGGCCTTTTCTTTTAGGGCCATTAATCACAAGTTCAGGTGTATAGAATTTTTTTTTTTTTGCATAGACATTTTTGGTGATCTGTTTGTTTAATATCTGTCTCCTTTGCTAGACTGTAAGTTCAATGAAGACACAAGTCATGTCCATCCTCTTCCCCACTTAATCCTCAGCACCTACAACACTGCCTGGCAAACAGTAGTCACTCAATAGATAATTACAGAAAAAAAATACAGAAGTCTGGATCCTGGGGACTGTCTTTAACTTTGCAGCCTCTTACCTTGAAACCTAGATGTTCAATAGACATTAATTGAACTAAACAAATAATAACAGGAAACACGTAATGCCTACTGTGTGCCAGGCCCTCTGCCAAGCACTTTACATTTACTCACTCATTTACCCCTCAGAACGACCCTATGAAGTAGGTACTGTTATTATTGCCATTTTACAGATGGGCGAAACCAAGGTACAGAAGTTCACCGACTTATAACTGGCAGAGCTGAGATCTGAACCCCAGCTACCTGTCCAGAAAGACAGAGCAATTTCCAAAAGTGTCACAGGAAGAACATGGTGAAGCTAGGACTGAAACCCAGGTCTGCTCCCTGTGCAATGCTTTTCCCACACTATCATATGGTATCTGGCCGCTGATACAGAGCCTCTGGGAATACAGGCAAAGGAGAGATTTGAAAGGTCTAGATATTCATCCAAAAAAAAAAAAAAAGACCATAGTCATCTACGTGGCTCTCAGCAGAAGACAGGAGGAAACGAAGAGCAGCCACTAGGGCAGAAACAAATGTGGTCACCAGGTCCCCTTTCTTAAGCAATGAAAGGTTGCTTTCAGAGGTCCTATTTGAGGCCTAAGCCCTTCTCTTTTCCTGCCTTAATTTATCAGGGAATCTCCTCCACATACACACACAGCTAGAGCCACCCCGAGGCCATTTCTGCTTCTTTGCAATTGAGCACATGTGTAGAAAAAATAATATATATTAGGGAGATTACATAGTACGATCTGAAACCCGATGTGTATGTAGGAAGCTGGGGCGGGGCACAGAAACAAGGAATATTGGAGGAAAGGTTAGGTCAACCCTAAAACTTCCAACAGCTAAAAGGACTCAGTGATAAGAGATTAGAGCAAAGCACCTATAAGCAGCTCAGCTTTAGAGGCACCGGCCTTCTGTTTGGGCTTCTTGCCACAACAGAACAGCACCATGGTCATGGCCTTCCTCTCCCGACTAGATCTTCAGGAGATCCTCCAAACCCTCTCTGTTATGCAGTGGATCCCACTCTACATATTTCTAGGTGAGTGAACCCAAGGAGCTGGAGAGCACATGGCAACAGGCAAGAAAGAGTCCAGGAATCCACAGATAAGGATTGTGCCTCCTCACCCAAGAGGTAGCTACTGTTGAGTTCACTTGATTTCTCTCCTCCCATTTGAGGGGCATGAAGGCCAGGGGTGAGGCTGTGGTTGTTCTGGTTTAAAGATCACCCCAGCCTTCTCAGGACTGCCCCCCTCTAGTTCAGAGTCATATTCGGGGGCTGGGGCAGAGGTGGTGGTGGCTTCGAGAGCTGGTGTTACTAGGTAGGTATAAGGTGATTTTCCAGGATAAGGCAATGGTGGAAGAATTCTAGAAAATCTGAGGGCTGCCTGAGTGACTCATAGACAGAATTTTGAGAAAAGGACATTTGTTCGGTGGATTCAGGTCATGGCAGCCATCGGTGCTGGTCAAATGGGCAGAGAGCTTCAAGCTTTTCCCAACTAGAAACCAGGGCTTTGTAAGCAGCCAATTACAGGGGCAAATTTGCAAACCGGACTGGGAGAAATGTCATCCTCAGGGATGAGACATGTAGGAGGCAGCCTATTCTGATCCACAGAAGGCTATATGACACCTTAAAGCAGAAGTTTTTTTTTTTTTACCAGGGGCCCATGGACCTTGAATTCATGGTGAGGGAGGGGTGGACAACTTCAAATTTGGATAGAAAAAAGTACCTCATTATTTTCACTAATTTCAAAGGGAAATATGAGTATAGGCAACAAACCACAGAAGTGTTAGCAGTACCTGTGAACTTGTCAGTAACAGACATCACATAGATTTGTATATCATATGCCAGTTGATGCAGGCATCTTAATATTTCATTTATACTTGTGACTACTTCAAAATTCTTACAGTTATTAGAATACCATTCAGTCTGGTTACTAATTCATAAATCAAGAATCCCATGTTACTATATCACATTTTTGTAATGTTGTGATAACTGTGTTTTAATACGATGGGGTTCCTACATGTAAGTCTGTGTTTTATCTTGTGCATTTAAAAATATTACTCAGAGGAGGGTCCATAGGATTCATCGGATTGCCAAAGGACTCCATGGCCCCCAAAAGATGAAAACTTATTGAGCCTTATTGAAATCAAATCATGCCAAGCTCTTAGTCCATCAATGACTTGACTCTAGCTGTATTAAGAGAAGGAGGCAATTTTTCTATAAACATATTTGTTTCTAGTCTTTCATATTTCTTTCTTGTTTTCCTTTGCGTTTATCTTAACTTCCTCATAAAGACCCCCTTTGACAAGTTCCAGCCCTTAGCTAGGAAAGTGAGGGGAACAGAAATGTCTTCTACTCTCCAATCTACTCCACTGCCTTCTCCCAGAATAATCTTTCAAAAGCATCTTTGATTATAGCTCTTATAACCTTTCCTCAAAAATAGTTGCTGGTTTTCATTCCTACTTGATGAAACACAAATGTGTTAGCCTGGGCATTCAAGGCCCTACTCCACTCTCTGGTTTTAACCCTTTTCCAGCTCACCCCCCTACTCTTCCTCTATATGAAGCTTGTATTCCAGGCAATCTATTCACAAAACAAACAGGAAGGGTACTTCCCCACTCCTTCACCTCTGCTCAGACTATTTCTTCCACTGGAAATGCCCTGATTGCTCTTCCTGGGCAATCCAGGGACAACTCCGCCTTTGAGATATTGCTCAAGTCACAGCTTCTACACAACGTTTTCCACACAACCCAAGAGAACATCACCTCTGAAAGTTGTAAAAATAAGTTGGACAGCAACCCTTATATTCTTCGTCTCCTCTACCCAATGAGCTCCATGAGAACAGGAGCCATGTCTTGTCATTATATTTCTCATAAGACCAGGCTGGACACTAAATTGACGATTCTTTCGGATTTTTTTCCTCAGTGGAGACCTTTAAGTCTATCTCTTGTTCTTTTTCTTCTCTCCTGGATATCTTTGTGGGGCGGGGCTGGGGAGCTGCCTTCTTTCTGCAGTTTCTTTTTAAAGTTATTTTTCATAAAAACATTTTATGTTTTTAGTTTCTGGTACTACAAAAATAGAACATAGTTTTGGAAATCAGACAGCCACTTACTTGCTGCGTGACCCTGTGCAAGTAAGTCCCTATTATTTTCTACGTGAACTTGAGCAAGTCATTCATCCTCCACCATTGTAGAAACAGAACATAGTACCTGCCTTTCAATACCATTTCGAAGATCAAAAAGGCAAGAAAATCCTCAATAGATGTTCATTTTATTTCTGTAATAAAAATTGACATTACTTGGAGCCCTACCACCTCGCCTCATAAGACGCTGCCAACCTCGCCATTCAATCAACAAAGGAGTGATAACCACTTCTGAGACAGGCACCCTAGACTCTGATTTCATTGCACCTTCAGGAATAATAATGAGTAACTAGGTCCTAGAAAATTAGGCAAATAGAGACTTTGATACATTCCCAGCATTCCCACAGGTCCCTTTAAGGCATCATTCACTAATCCCTCTCCTTCACCCCCTACATCCAATCATCTGCCAACTTCTGAAAATTCTACCTCCATATTATCTTTCAAGTTGGTTTGAGAAATAGCAATCCATTTCAGGTTTCCATTACCTCTCATCCAAACCACTGCAACTCTTAGTTGATCTCCCTGCCTGCGGTTTCTTCTGCTCCCACAGTTGTCTCAAAGTATCCTCGTTATACACAGATATGAGCATGCTACCCCTCTGCTTAATAACTTTCACTGGCGTCTCATCACCTTCAGCATCAGGCCTGATCTCCCCAGGATCCTTTCCAGCTTCATCTCCTATTCCATGGCTTTCCAGGTTCCCTGTGTTTTTAGAGCTCACGGTGTTAACTCATGTGCCTTGGACTCCTCCATCTCCAGACCTTTGTTCAAATTCTTCCTTGTGCATGGAAGGCTCTCCCTTCACAAATCTATCTGTCAAACTCCTACTTATCTTCCAAAATTCAACTTAAACCTTACCTTTTACCAAAAGCCTTCCTAGGTTCCCTAGTAGTAAAGATTGGTCTTCTCCTTGGGTTCCCACAGAATGACATTTGAACCCTGACTATATAAGATCTTGCCCTCTGGGATGTATCTGTTATTTATAATGTCAGTCTTTCCCACTAGACTAAAAATTTCTGGAAGGCAAGAGTTTTATTCTCCACATGTGTTAGTATGAGTTAACACACACAAGGTACTTAAGATAGCTCCTGGCATATAATAAAGACTCAACAAATGCTACATACTTTTTCTCCCAACGCTTGGAGTGAAAAGATACATGACCTCTCTGAGCCTCAGTTTATTCATATGTAAAATGGGGGTGATAAAATGATCTACCTCTCAGGGTCATGAGAGGATTAAATGAGATAGTGTACATTAAGTGCTGAACAGAGTGCTTCTTAATAAATGCTGGATACATGGTACCAGTGATCATACTTACATTATTTCTATCATTTCCATACTTAGTCTTTTTGCCCTCCTCCTTCCAACCACCAACCCTGTCCCCATGGCTTCTAGCACAGCGATCTCACATAAGGTGTACTCATTCAATGTTTGTTGATTTATTAAGTTACCTTTTACTCCTACAGGTTCTTATATTTATAGTTAATTTAGATCCAGTAAGTAACCACAAAGCCACAGAAATTTGTCTTCAACAAATCTGCCATGTTCTTGGATTTCTGAAGGATTTGAGCTATCTGATTAGGATGCTAGGTTTTCACTTTACACTGGAAATAACTGGTTGCCTATAGCTTTATATACACATGCACGCCCTCGAACCTCAGGCCTTTCCTTATCTGGAATGAAAGCATTGGTGATTTCTCTTCCTGATAGCTTTCACCTGCCACTTGGAGAATCTCGAAATCAAACTTTACGCTGCGCTACAATTTAATATAACAAATCTTATCATGAGTCATCTCCCTGTTCTTGGCATCGTGCTAAAGGTTGTTTTCAAGAAGCTTACTGTCTAGTAGAGAAAGGGCCAGACGTGTGAGGTACTAACTACACAAGCAGCAAAATCAAATTTGGCCGAGTAGAAGCACAAGCAGTATGTTGTGGGTGTGTGGAGGAGGACACCCTTAATTCTGAGCAGAGAATCAGCAAAGATATCAAAGAGGTTCCGTGTGAGCTAAGCCTTGAAGATTGAGAACATTTTCATAGGCAGAAAGTTGCAGAGAGGGTAGTCAGAATAGGAACAGCATCACCAATGGCATAAACATGCGAAGTTACATGGTGGGTCGAGGGGATGGGAAGTAAGCTAAGGTGATTGAGCCTCTGTTTCCCATACTTCAGCCATTTGCATCCCACCTTATGGTTCTTTCCATGGCAGAGTACCATTTATGCTATTATTACTTAACATTGTTTTCCAAATTGACTCATTTCTGTAACCTAAATTAATATATTTTAACAGGAAACTTTATATCGCTACCATGAATTTACATTTATTCACTATACATTAAAATAACTTTCCATCCATACACTACCTCAGATCATCTAGTAGGGACCACACTTTGACGAACACTGGGCTACAGCATAAGAGGTATGAGTGCAGGTACTGAGAGATAAGGCTAGGACAGTGTATGGGGCTAGTCCATGGACGGCCTTAGATGCCAAGCTAGTATGTTCAGACTTTATTCTGTTAGCAGTGGGAAAACATTGAAGGTTTTAGAGGAGACAAACGTTATGACTGCATTTTTAAAAAATATATCTGACAGTAACATGTAAAATGGACTAGAGAGGATGACACCAGCAGGCAAAGAACAGACATGCAACTGCAGACCAGACCAGAGGAGATCAGAAGGATGAATTGCAGGGAGAGAAGTCGACAATAGCTCCAAAATATTGTAACTGTGACATTTCTCCTGAGGCCTGAAAGATGAATAGGAACCAGCCAGGCAAAGAGCTGAGGAAAGAATCTTCTAGGTAAAAAGGACAACATGTACAGAAGCCCAGAAGCTAGAGGGCAGAATGAATTGAAGTAACTGACAGAAGGACAGTATTGCAGAATGCAGAGAGCAAT